ATGATGTATCAAAAACATGGCCATAAATTTTATAGTTATTTTTTATAACATCTTACAATTCACTTATTTTCTATACCTTTCATAGCATGACTAAGAGTAGATGCATTTTTTTAAATTATGGAGCTGAGTTTTTTTTTCTTTATCAGTTGCAAATTTCTGGGTATGAGTAGCTTTTAGGAGAAAGACCTTAAAGAACTCACCTATTCCTTAATCTGAATTTTTGTTGTGAGTTAGCATCTATGAAAAAGAGGAATTAAACCCGATCTATTTGAGTGCCATAGTTCCCTACTTGTTAGAGTTCTCTGTGAACAAAGTAAATCATCAATCAGTGATAGCTGACTCAATTACAGTTTGAAACATACTGCTTAGCCTTGCTTAGAAAAGAGGAGCAACTTTTCAGTCGTAGAAAAGTTGCTTGCTTGCTCTTTTAAGTGCTGTGCTTGTGCTCTGTGCATTTCAGTCATAGAGCAAGACTCGTCAAACTCGACCACACCAAATGCTTTTGTTAATAAAGTTTTATTGGAGCACAGCCATACTCATTCATTTACAATTGTTGATGGCTGTTTTTACACTACAGCGAAAGAGCCGAGTCATGGCAACAGGCATTATGGTCCGCAAAGCCTAAAATATTTATTATCTGGCCTTTTGCAGAAATATCCACCAATCTCTGTCATAGAGTTGAGTTGGAAGATCACATAACCAACTCCCTCATTCTGCAGATGTAAAAACTGAAACAAAAGAAGTTAGGGGGTTGCTCAGGTATACTTATGCTTAGATGTTCGGACCCTTACATCCTAATCGCTCTAATCATTGGAGAAGACAAGAATGCTTAGGCATAACATCAACTGAGTGCTACTTGTCCACCAGGCTCCCTGAGAAGGAAGGAAATGACTGAGTAATCTTCCAGGGGCCAAAGATGGAAGAGCCACTAAATATGTGCCATGCGTGTGCTACAGCATCCCCAGGTGGTCAAAACATTTGGCTGCTAACTAAAAAGCTGGGGTTTGAGTCTATCCAGAGGCACCTCAGAAAATAGATCTGATCATCTGCTTCTGAAAAATCAGCCATTAAAAGCCCCAGAGAGCACAGTTCTACTCTGACGTATGTGAATTCACCATGGTCAGTGTTGACATGTCAGCAGCGGTTTGCTTGCTTGCTTCTCTTTCAAGTGCTATGGCTCTGTTCCATGCATTTCTTTTTATTCTTCTTTTTCTTTTTTGTGGTTTTTTTATTATTGTTATTATTAAATACTTTTATTGGGGGCTCTTACATCTCTTATCACAATCCATACATTCCTCCAGTGTGTCAAGCACATTTGCACATATGCCGCCATCATCATGTTCAAAGCATTCTTTTTTGAGCCCCTGATATCAGCTCCCCAT